TGAACTAGAAATGATACATTTTTTAGAGAATCCAGAGAGGCTATAAAAATGTAAAAATGCAAGAAAGTGCTCAGGTATCTCAAAATCAAGGGTCCATTGTAAATATAATCTCAAGAAAATATTCACAGTGGGCACTGTTTAAAACTTTTAAAATGACTAGTATCTCATGGAGTGAACAGGTTACACTCCAAACCAAATATTAACACCAGGTCATGAGCTTGGGTTTCATGGTCACTAAGGGGAAAATGATGATCCTATTCATCTGCAAGCGTGAAGAAATGTGTGTGCTGAGGACTACTACAATGTCCAGAATTATGTTTTGCCATAGCTCCAAGACTAACACAGAGGACAGCTATGTGTTGACTCAGGATGGTGCTCACAGCCAGAAAAGTACAAAAGTTCTGCAAAGTTGATTTTTGGCCAATGGATTTCTGACCTTCCTCCTGTCTGGTGCTAAACCTATTAGAATATGCTGTATAGAGCATTTTGCAGCAGGTCAATGCACTGTCAATCACTATCTTCTTAATTCCTGTTCTTTTACTGTTCTCTCCCCTTAATCATTTTCTATTTCTTATACTGTTTTACATTCAGTAGTCCCTTGTACCTTAGGGGCTTTATTGCATTGCTTGGAGTGAAATCATAAAAAAAGGTCACTAACTAGACCCCCAACTTCATTATCAATACCTTCAAAGTTGCCATCAAAGAAAAGTGGGCTAAGAATTTTGTGGTTATGAGTTGTACAGCTCGTTGAGATTGTAGTTGAGAATAATAGAAGTCATATTGAATAAATTGTTTTTGTTTGATTTGTTTTGTTTTACAGCATATCAACACCTCAATGTGTTATTTAATGCCAACAAGACTTTTAGAATAGGTTTGTATGAATAGAATATGTATTAATATTTTTTTTTCAAAAAGGTATTGTGGTAATATTTTTTGTTTTTCAGAAATACATTGCTAGTATTTTTACTACAAACATTTATTTTTATATTTTCTTAGTGTTTTGACCCCAGTTTGGTGGTTAACTATTTGGACAATTGTTTTTGTATTAGCTGTGAGCTTTATTAATAGATACTCTTAGAATTCAATTAATATACTGCATACAAATTAGAATCTTAATTTGGAATTGCAAAAATTGTAGCTTCAGAATATTAAAAGTAAATTTTTTCCTTAGCTCAATGATGTGATCTTCATTGCAGTATATATATATATATATGCTTTATGATAACTTTATCAGAAATGACCATCAATGTTTTTCCAAAAATCATGAAAACAAAAAAATACGGTGATGATCATGGATTTTCACAATTTCCTGTCATTTGTAGCTCAATGAATTTTGTGTTTTTGTTATCTCTCCTAAACCTTGTTCTGTCATTTATTTACTCAAGGTCACTAAGTAGGTTATGCATTGTTTTCCATTATCCCTTCCTCTTTCCTTCAATATGTCCTGGGATTATCAAATTTTTCAAGCTCTCTCTCTCCTCATTATGTACCCATAAAATTTCTACTCTGTCTTCCTGAATTATAAGTGCACTTTTTGTTTCCATTTCTCAAATAGTGCTCACATATTCGGTCCATGGTATTCTCTGTAGAACCATATTTCTGTTACTTTAAGTCTCTTCTTCATCTGTGAGAGAATTGTGAGGACAAATATTACATAACAGTCTAGTATTCGTTTCTTTGTTTCAAACAAAATTTTTCTGTTTCATAATACTTTGCTTAGCTTTTGGCAGACATCTTTCTCTAACCCAATGCATCTTTGGATTTCTGTGTTGTACTTTCCATCTGCTGTTAAAATATTTCACAGATATTTAACTTGATGTACTTCTTTGATGTTGGTATTCCCAATTTGTAATCTGAATGCTGGGTTGTCCCTTTTGCTTACAATCACATATTCTATCTTCTTGTAATCAATGTTTAGTCCTTTCTTCTTGTTTTCCTTCACTAACTTCTGTAGGAGTTCTTGTAGTTTCCTTTCTGCATCTGCTATCAACACTGTGTTGTCTGCATGTTTTATATTATTGAGATTGTGGCAGCCAATTATGAATCTTGGTAGAACTTCTAATTCTCTTAGAATTCTCTCACTGTATAGGTTTCAAGTTTTGTATATTTACTGAATTCATTTTCTAACTATATGCATGAAGATTGCTGCCAATACAGGTTCTGGATTATTCTAATATCCTTCCCAAAGAAATCGAGGCTAGCTAGCATCTCAAACAGTGCATTGTGAAGCACTTTATCAAAAGCTTTTGCATAATCTATAAAACAGAATGAAAATGAAAATAATCTAATAGGACTGACAAGTATATGAACAAAAGCACCAAAAACTATTCAGATTTTCATAAAATTTCTGTTGGTCAGCTACAGATTGGATTGGAAGGGTTGAGGCACATGCCTTTTTTATGACTATTAATACTTAACGAATCTCTCAGACAACAAAAAATTTAAAACAACTGCATTCTTTTCAAATTGAAAAAAAAATATTAATTAGTTTTATTTTTATTACTTGTACCCTAACTTTATATTCATTACAAACTTATTTAATTGATGAAAATCTGAGGTATTAAACTTTAATCAATTTTTTAATTAAAACCACATAATTAGTATTCAGAATACATTAAACAGAACCTGTTTTGGCAGTAATTAGTGAAAAAAAAATTCATATCAAAGAATTTTTTTTTAAATAATTAGTGTGATAAAGTGATGATATATACTGACTTGTTTTTCAATTGAAAGGTGAGCCAGTACAGATGCCAATAATTTGATAAACAAAATTGGCAAACTAGGTTCAAATTCTGGTTTTACCTACTACTATTCATTACTAAATAGTGCTCAAGAGAAAAACATGAAACCAATTCTCCCTGGAAAGTACCTCACTGCTAATGATTATGAAAAGAGTGTTGTTACAGGATTTAATTTAATTTAATAATCCGCCCACCAAAATGTATCCTACACACTCACTTGATGTGTCAGTTAATGAGACACACAAAAAAAAACAATGGAAATTTATATGATTAAAGAAAAGTACATTCTTTGTCACAGTCTGCATGTGTTTTGGTAGGCATCTATGTAATGTATATGCATATACCTGCATTGTGCATTAGTGACTACATGTTCTTGCGTCATTTAATGTACACATAAGCACATAATTACACAATTTGATGGAGTTTAAAATAATATATTGGTAAAATATATTCTCCTTGTACTTAATTTGGATAACCTCCACCCTGGACTGGGTAATAAAATCAAAGTTGAAGATGAAAAAAGTAAGTTTTTCTTTTTAATTTTTAGAGATTTCATTTTACGTTTTCGTAATTATTTGGTAATAGAATTAGTTTTTAAACCTTATTTAATTTTGTAGAAATCTTTTTCCAGCTGCCATTGAATTCAAATATAAAGGTGTGTACATGCAAACATACATACACATACACAATTTGAATGAAATTGAAATGAACATCTGTGTCACAATTCTAATTTCTCTTTAAATTTGATCCTCTTGTCAGCCAGGTAATAGGTATCAAACTAGTATGAACAAAAGTCAATAACTTTGCTAACAAATCAAAGAATAACAAAAGTGTACTAACAAAAACATTGGCAAAAAGAAGTAACATTTTTTTCTAGCAAAAGAATAAAGTGTCTCACTTAAATCTAGATGAAAACTTCTACTATATGCCTCATTGGCAATTAGGTGTAAAGGTCAGACTTTGGGGATATTGACAATGTCAAGTTTAAGGCTACTGGTCAGACTAGAGTTGCAATTATTTACAGTTAGTGAGTGAGTCATGGTTAATGTTAGCAGTAGGATGGAATTTAAGATTGTTTTTTATTGTGATTGAATGATCTACAAAGTATTTAAAAACAAAACAAAAATACATTTTTTTTTAATCACTTCATGCCAATCAAGGGAATAAAAGCAACCAGGATGCACATGATTACTGAGAGTAATAGAAACAAAGAAGACAATTAAAAATAAGATTCAAGAAGAGACAGCAGTTGATGATTGACAATGCATTCACATTTTTGGAATTCATAGTTGACACAGGCAAGAATTGCAGAAGAAAATATTAGCATAGAACTTACAGCTACAAGTAACAATTTTAACAGTAACATTATGAAAGTTAACTGCCAATTTAGTACTCATGAAGCTGAGGTACCAAATAGGAAATCTCATCAGAACAGTTACTGTGGAAATATTTGTAGAAGAGGCACAGGAAAGCTATGTTGCAGCAATGGGAAAGAAATGAAGCCAAACGAAGCCAAGATGCCAGGCTAGGATCAATAACATTGCAGATCCTCCTTTGCATTTTGTCATGAATTTATAGATATATATAGCAGATGTGATAGCAATAGTTGCTGCATGGAAAAATAGTAGGCTTGTGAAAATGAAAGATAGACTTTGACAAGAAAACTCATCTAGCACAACGCAGTGTATCAACTTTCCTAACAATTGATTCAATATAATCATTTCCCTTCATGTCAGTGAAAAACATAGCACCTGTCAAGGTGTAATGAATTGTTCACCTGGAGGTTAGCATCAGACATGCTGATGGAAAGCAAAAATCTTCTTTCAGATAATTAATAGGTCGCCGTTTTGTTTTGAAGGCATTAAAATTAACGAGTCACTTTTTGTCCTAGTTAACAAACAGACTGAACATCATTTTTGAGTTCAGCTGCCATACATTAAAATGTTTAAAGGATTATCAATTATAACTATTTAAAACATTTTTCCTGCTATTAAGAGAATGAATTTACTTTCACAAGTATGCATCATTCTATTAACCAAGTTATATATAGATCACTAATTTATGATCTTATGAAAATCAGTCTGAAATAATCAATCAAGTTACTTCCTAAGGAGATAAGAATGTAGCCTAATTCAGATTCAAATTTAGGTTTTAGATAGAATGAGTTGAAATAGGACTTTCAAATTAAATATTTGTTTGTGGTTTTATATACAGTATATCCAAAATAGTCTTCTGGGTGAGAGAAATAAACAAACTTACCAGAATATCTGTGAGGATCTTGTAATTTTCAATGTCATTGGCTTTTGTAGAGTGCATTTTTGTGACCAGACCCATAGCAACACCTGCAACAGGTTCTGCAATTGGTACGCCAGCATCCATGAGTGCTAAGCTACCTCCACAGATAGAAGCCATCGAGGAAGAGCCTTGACAAAAAGAGAAGGATATATTCACCATTAATCTAGGAAAGATTCAAACAAGTATTCCTATCATTTTCCTATAAATTTTGCACAAAGAATTATTATTATGAGTTTTAACTTGTGAAAATTTTATGGTTTTCATATTCGAAATTTCTGAAAAATCTTAATTCTTCAGTTAATGATTGAATAATTTCATGATGAATCCTACAAAAATAAAATATCCATACATATTCCCTTACTGCATGAATAAATATTTGAATCTAACAACTTTAACAAAATATTGATATAACAATCATAAATATTAATGCTGGTCACTATTTTAAGAAGTAAGAGGGCAAAAATGAAAAGATTTGAAATTGATAACTTTTTTCCATTTCAGTGAAACAGCATTAAACACACCTATCTTGCCTTTTTTCTTTCAATTTCTGACTGAAATAAAGTAGCATGTTTGATATGACTTTTGCTTTCCCCCACATAAAAATGGAATAGTCCATTATTTATGAGGTATTAGAAGGAGACATTAAACATTTTCATCTATCTTTCTTCCTTCCTTCCTTTTTTTCACTGAATCCAAGTAGCATCTCTGATCTGGAGATCATTGTCCACTAAGATCAAATTCACATGAACAGTCTCATCTTTGACTACTCTTCAGGAGTACATTAAGCCTTCACAGCCACCTACACCACTGCCACCACAGGAGAGAAAGGAAATAAGGAAAGAGGATGGCAATTGTGACACTCTGATGCAAGAGGGTACAGACTACTACAATTACTACTGCTATAGGAATTCTATTTGATGTCCTCAGTGAACTTTTGACCCATGAGATGTTAAAAGAACTAGGTATGACATGATTTTAAAAATTATTGGTAAGCCATACCTGGGTCATGAGGGAAGGCATAGAGAGACTTAGGCTTTACTACTTCTAGTATCTTGATGTAGACAATGCTATTAACACTGTGGCTCTACAAGAAGAATCCAGGTGGTATGACATGGGCTTCTTTTCTAACAACTCCCAAGACCATCACAATGTAAATTTGGTGAACATCTCTCTGGCTACTACCACAGAATTAATTTCTCTTTTGTATCTGCCCAATTTCAAAAAGATAGTTATCTCTGAGTTGCTGTGGTTAGTGCCATAAGCATAGCATGTCTTTCTATTTCTGGTCTCAGATTGGAAGGTGGCATGTTAATGCTCTTGATACATCTGAAAGAGAAATGAGAATCTTAAAATTTGGTGCATGCCACATAACCTGATGTTAGTTTCTCTTCCATTTATTTCTTGCTAAATGTGTTTTCTCAAATACCTGCCACACCCTCTATACCTATATTCAACAATGTACTCATGAACATTCAACAAGAATTAAAAAGAAAGGAAAAATACAGAGGGAAATGGAGGCCACAACTTGAATCAGTACAAAGGTAATAATATCTATCTTAGTTTACATTTCTACAGATAAGAGATATAAATAATATCTTTTGGATAAAAACAGCATATACTTTTATGCACATATATGTTCATTAAATAAGGTTTATGTATTTAGCCTATAAATGTATTGCATACTGCCACCTGAAAACCTTTAAGACTTGAGTCTCATAATATGAATGTCAGTCTGAGAGTGTAAAAGAATGTTACCCTGTAAAATATTATATGAATCCTATTGAAAAATACAAAAGAAAGACCGATCAATGTGTTATATACACAGAGTCAACCATTTTAAAAAAAATGGAAGACTTCCAAAGGCAGGTAATTCCTCCCATTCCATTCTTCCATATTTTATCTACTGCTGCTTCGCTTTGAGAAGGGAGAAAAGAAATTCTAAAAAGCAGAAGAAAGTATGTAAGAATATAAATGATCTGTGGGAAGGGAATGTTGTTTTTCCCCTCTCTTTTAAGGAAAATATGTTCAATATTAAAATGATATGAAAAGAAATATTCAAGAAAGCAGAAAGGAAATGAAATAAAAAAAAAAAGAAAAATGGCAACAGAAAAATACAGAGAGATGAATGAAAAACTTTCAAAAAAATTTACAGGATAAATTGAAACAAGAACAAAATAGTGGAAAGTAAAAAAAGGTAGAATGAAAATGGTGTCTATGACTTTGATAAAAATGTTCAAGAATTGATGATGATGATGATGATGATGGTTGAGATGGTTGTTGAGGTGTTCAAGGCAATAGTTCAATGCCGATTGAAGATAGCGTGCATTTTAATAGCAGGGGAAAAAATTTGAGAATAAACAAACAAAGGAATAATGATGGAATGAAAATGGTGAATTCAAGAAGGATTCAATAAGTGGAAAGAAAGAAAAAAATGAAGAAAATGTAGAAAAGGAGACAATAGAGAATGAAAGAAAACAAGGAGAGAATATCAAATAAAAACAAACAGATACAGAATGAAAGAAAAAAATGTCAGAAAAAAAGCCAAGTCAAAATGAGAAGAAGAGTAGTTGAAAAAAAAAAAAAAAGAAAACAGAAAGAAAAAATATTAAAAAAAAAGGAAATTGAGAATGAAAAAGAGAAGAATGAATGAAAGTTGAAATCAAGAAAGAGAAATAAGCAATAAGTAAAGGGGAGCTGCTGAGACTGAGGTAAGAACAAGAAAAAAGTAACAATGAAAAAAATCAATGAGGAGAAATACAAAAATAAGAAGCAAAGACATTAAGAGAGAGTAAAGAAGAACAAAAGATTGAATAGAACACAAATTTGGAAGAAGGAATAATAAACAAGAAAATAAAAAGAAAGAATGACACAGAATGAAAGAAGACAGGGTACAGAAAGAAAGCTGAGAATGAATTAATGGTGAAAGAAAAGATGGTGAAGAAAAAGGCTAAACAATTTGAGCAAATAATAGAAAAAAGGTACAAAAAGGTAAGATGAAGGGAGAGAAAAGGAAGGAAGGAAGACATTTATTCACTAACAGAGAAGATCAATAAAAACTCACAACACATAAATTTGTTACAGGGAATAATAATTTCTAGGCTGAAGAGTTATATAAATGGGAAGTAAGAAATAGAGAAAAAATTAACAATGCTTAAAAGGCGAATAAGAGAATCTAAGAAAATAAAATGGGTTGGAGAAAGAACAGGGAAATTTGAGTAAAAAAAATGGCAAAGAAATGATATAAAAGAGAAAAAGAGGGAGATAAATAAATTATACAAGCAAACAAATGAGAGAGAGAGAGACCAGATTATTAAATATATATATCTATATAGATAGATAGATAGATAGATAGATAGATAGATAGAAGGATAGAATGACAAAAGGAGAAATTGAGCAAGAAAGCAGCATGTATGAAAAGACGAATTAAGAGAATTTGAGTTTATGGCTCATAAACATATCTGTGGGTCATTTTAGAAAAGATAATAATAATTTATGTTAGAATTTTTGCAATGGAGAATCATCATTATTATCTACATTGATTCAGACTAGTGTACTCTTTTGGTTGTTGTACTCACAATGTTTCGGCCATTGTACATTCTGGCCTTCTTTGGTTATCTAGCGTACTCAGTAGCTCTAAATTCTGAACCAAACTCTTTATTCAATTCACAGGGTTGATTGTTCTCATTACATTTTTCATGGTTGCAGGATATTTGCGTCAGTTAATATTCCATTCTTTTTGTTATTCGTTCCTATCTTCCAATGAACCAAAATATATGACTTTTCTATACTACTTGACCCAGAGCTTGAACAAGAAACCAAATGTGCTTTAACTATCATCTTCTATGCCATGTATCTATTGTCTAAGAGTTAATACAAGATCTCCCCTAAGCATGGAAAGTAGAATGACAATAAGTCACCCACCAGGGATCGAATAAAGAGTTTGGTTCAAAATTCCAAGAAGGTCACTAAGTATGACAGACATCTGAAGAATATTGGAGTATACAACTGTTGAAACACTGTAAGATTAACAAGCCAAATAAGTATATAACCTGACCTATTTGCAATAATAATGACAGGGAAAAGAGAGGAGAAGAAAGGAAAAATCAAGGAGGTGAGAGAAAGGAAGATGAAGGTAAATAAGAAAAAAGAGAGAAGAAAGAAAAAAAGAGAAGAAAAGAAAAATGAGACAAAAGAAAACAAATGAGAAAAAGAGAGAAGAAAGAAAAAAGAAGAAAATAGGAGAAAAATGAAAGAGACGTAAAGAGAAAAAGGGGAAAAATCAAATGATGGTAAAATATTGTCAGTTGTAAGCACCATAGCTTCTTATTTTATTCACTGCAATGACTAGATTATTTTCCAAAAAAAAACAAACACTTTGGTCATTGCAGAAAAGAAAACTGAAATATAAAAAGAAAAAATAAGGAAAAAAATCTAATGTTAATAAATTATTTAACAGATCACAGCCTGTTTTAGTCTCAAGAAATTCAAGCTTGACAAAATTTTTAAACTATTAGATTTAAAAAATATAACCATACCTAATGCCATATAAAGACACCATTTCAAGAGGTTTTATGATGAAAATAATTGTTGGATGCTATATTAAATGTTACTGGAACTCCATCAATGAAAAATGTTTATTATATGAACAAGTTTAAAATGAGTTTCTATTCATTTATTTATAAAAAATTTATGAAATTCTAATAAATAGGGATGAGTTGGTTTTATCTAGCACTAATGGTAATGGTAATATTAGCTGTTTCCTTATAAAGAAACATTTGGCATTCACTGATGAAGCAGACAGTACTACCAGTATTTATGAATTTAAGCACAATACAAGATTGTCAGCGAAGTCTCATCATTTTACAATTGAAATGGTAAGATGTAACCATAAGTTCTATGCCAAGAGTTTCTTCACTCCCACTTCTCACTTGTGGAATTCTCTTCTAGCTTTCCAGTCAAGTTTGATCCTTAGAAATTAAAATGTAATGTCAATCATTATTTTCTTTTTCTTAATTCCTGTTCTTTTATTGTTCTCTCTCCTTAATAGTGTTTTTTTTTCTCATTTTCTATCACACTCGGTAACCCCTTGTGCCATAGTGGCTTTATTGATTTGCTTGGGGTAAAATGATTTTTTAAAAAAGTTGAAATCTATTAAGTCTTTCTGTTAAAACAATTTATCAGGAAAGTCCAGTAGTTATTATTGCTCTTTCCAGTATTGTTGAGAGTTTCCTTCCCAATGAGTTATAGGTTCAATAACTGGTCACATCAGAGGTGAACAAAACCTTGGAGAGCTGGATTACTAAAAAGGGAATTAACTGAAACTAAGATATCCAGAAAAGGCAAGGCACAAAGAACTAGAACAATCTACTCCCATGGACTAAATAAAGGGTTTGGTACAAAATTCCAACATATCACTTGAAAAACGCTAGGATATACAGTAGACAAAATGTTGTGAATATGGCAATAAAAATGAGGATAACAATCAGAACAATGTAAATAGTGTAAATATATTTCTACCTTGCTTTTGTAACTGAGAAGATAAGAAAGCATTGTGTATCTTGCCAAAGAACTGTGCTTTCTTAATTTTTTGCACTAGTGAAACACTTTAAAAATGAAATTTTCTGCAAGACATAAAATCTTGTTAGCAAAATGAAATACAAACTTAAAGTTTATATAAAAAGAAAATTATTGAATAAAAATTTTGGTTTACATTTGGTCTAAAGTTATGATCTTTGTTGTTGTTATTATGTTTCAGCTGTTGTCACCTTCTTTGCATGTCTGTCAGTCAGTGTAACCTTCAGGGAATTTTGAACTGAACACTTCATCTATTCTATAGAAGTATATTATTATCATTCTGCTTTCCATGTCTAGGGATACCTTGTCTTGTTGCTATTTAAGTACTGCTCAATTATTGTTCACCTATTCCAGGGATTGAACTCGACCTAACTGAAACCCTGAATCTTAAACTTTGAGACTTCAGCCTAACATTATCATCGATTGCTTCCTTCATCATTACTTCTCTTTTCTTGATGCTGCTGATGCCTTGCTCAGAACTTCAAATGTAAGTAATGTAATTATAACTCATCTCATCTCAGAAAATCAGACAGAGATAATTTAGTTAATAATGAACTGGTAATTAATTAGACCGCAGTGTCGTGACACATCAGTTTGGAAAGTGTTGCCATAACATAATAGTTAACAAGCTAGTCTCACAGATCATTACTACTTTAGTGAGTTTGATATTTACTAGGTACTCTACATTTATGGACTTGTGTTATACTAAACTAAGCAGAATAAACATTGTAAATTAGGGTACCTTAGCTTGTATCAGTCTTTGATGGATAATAATATAATTATGGTATTTTGCCAGACTAAATATTAATTATTAAATATTAATAATTAGTAAATATTAATAATTATTGATAATAATAATAATAATGGACATATAACCATGGAGCAATGATTAGCAAGTTAACCTAATTTTCACTGGACACTCAAAACCAATAACTTTGTGCAAGACAAATCTACATTTAGAAATAGCAGTAAACAAATTCTTTGTGATACTGTAATTCTACAACTTTTCTCCATATTATTTCATTTATGTGTGAATGGTGATAAAATGAATCCTGTTAAGCCACTTAATTACATGCAAAATAAAAGAGGCCTTGAAATGTATAATCAAAACATTTTCATCTGACAAACGTAAATGTAATTAAAAAAATGCAAAATTTTATTCAACAATTCTCTACAATTCACAAATTTACACTATTTACATTGTTCTATCTGTTGTCTTAACCTTTGTTGTCATATTCATGAAATTTCAGCTGTTGTATGCTCCAGCCTTTGTCATTTGAGTGGAAATTCAAACTGAACCATTTATTTCATCCACATGATCTAGTGGGTAAAAATGTTGGTTGAAGTAATCCAGTGATTTGAGCCAAAGAGTTGTGAGTTCAATACTTGGCCACAGCAGAGGTGAACAGAAGTTTGAAGAGTTAAATTACTAAAAGGGAAATAACTGAAGCTGAGATATCTGAAAGAGGCATGGCATGTGGAACTAGAACAATCTAGCTCCAGGAATAAAATAAAGGGTTCAGTTCAGAGTTTCAATCACTTGAAGAAGATCAGAACATACAATGTCCAAAATGTTGTCAATATGACAAGATGAAGAGAACCACCCGAACAGCGTAAATAGTTACAATACCTCATCTCAGAAGCACAGACAGATGTTAAAAAAAAATGTGTGCCCTAAAATGTCACAATTTATAAGCTTAGAACTTTGTAAAGCTTTTATTTTTTCCCAACTTTTCAAAGAAGAAAAATAAAGCCTTGTATAAAAATAAGCATTTCATAATGACAAATATTTTTGGCCAATGTTTTCAGCTTTTTTCATTGAATGATTTTTGGGGCAAATAAGAATGGTTGAAAACACACTGACAAAACAACACATGGATGAAAACATTAATCAGAATAATTTCTGGAATAATAACCATGTCTTTTGAAGTTAATTTCACCATTAATGTTTTTAAATCACCTTTAGTATATGGACAGATGGATAAACAAAATCAGCTTGATGCAAATGGTTTACAAGATATCCAGATTCATTTTCTCTTTTTTTTTAAAAACTAAATTTCATCCAATGGAAGGCTTGACAGCCAATCAAAGAAGAGGGTTACTGAATGAGGCACGTGATATAAATGAAAGAGGCAGTGCTAGGAAGTGAACTCTATGAGAATAAGGAAGATTGATAACAACTGATCTTTGACTTGAAGCAGCTAATCTTGTTTGGTTGATTTAGTTTAGCAGTATGGACCATTTAATGCCGAAATTTCAATTTCAAGAATGTCAGAGCATACAACGGTGAAAATGTTGTGAATATGACAACCAAGATGAGGACAACAGTTTGAACAATGTAAATAGTGTATCTTAGTGTAATAGTTACAATACCTCATCTCAGAAATATAGACAGAATTCACAAATTACAAATATTTCTGAGGAGTTTGTCTTCATCTATTATTATCTATTGTTTGCTTAACTGATCAATTTCTAATTGCAAAAATACTTCACTGGGAAAAAAAGACCTTTGCTATGACAAGATAATCAAGAAGACAATGGTAACGAAAAGCATAGTGGTAAAAAATTACAAATAAAATGGCTGTCCAATCATACAATAATGAAAAAGTATTTCTCTCATGATAACAAATCAGCAAAAAACATGATCAATGAATTGGCTGAATTGTTTTTACATATGCAAAAGCAAAAGGAATAATGACAAATCATTTGCAACCCTTTCACAAATACGAGGGTGGATCAATAAGTCCATAGCCTGACATGTAGTTAATATCAGAATATTGATTAGAAATTTTATCAGTATAATGTCTGAGATCTGAAATTAATATTCATTACTGAATTAACAGACAGTATAAAATTTTTATGAAAAGTAAATATTTGTTGTATAAGATAAAGTTTTTTTTTTTAAATTATGTAAGTTACAGAATTACATCTGAACCTAGAGGCATGTTTTGCAAGTATGTACATATTTCCCCCAAATTCTAACAATATTCAACAACTAACAAATTTATTTCTATACCTTTTAAAGCAGTTTCTCTGGATGTTATGCATAAATATTTGTCTATTAGCTTATAAGCTTAACCCTGCAGCTGTTATTTCAGATATCATAATATGAATTATTCATCTCTTCAATTGATTCTCTTTTTCCTAATCTTCATTCACTTCAGGGAACTTCACTAAATTCTTGTGTAACTTAGTGGGGAGGAATACTGTTGAGATATTCAAACTAATATCCTCATCAATGCATTTCAGCTGATGCAGTTTACCTCAAGTCTCAGACACTCAGATCTTGAACTCTTTAAGCCTCACTGAACATCCAGTACTTTTGGTTGTATGCCAAACTATGCTAAGTTTGGTAAATGCCTATAGTAGGAGTACCTCTTATCAGATGTTGTGTACACCAAAAAAAAAAGGCCAAAGAAAACATCAACATAAACACTGTGATAAACTGAAGTTGATATTTACTTATTCTTTTAAAAACAAGAATTTACCGAATACTAGACTCGAGAGCCACTCAAAGTAGAGGGTTAGGTTTACAATGAATGACTCATGTGATATGAATGAAAGAGTAGGCAGTGAAGATTATATAGATAAGCAGAATAGATAATGAATGACCTTTATAGAGGTTAAAATTATAGTGTTCAAAGAAACACATATATGAGAGCCTCTTCTACAAAATGGTAGTTCTTGGGGATATGGTACTAATACACCATTTTTGATCTAATCTGATTCTTAAAAAGATAAAG